TCTCTCTCTCTCTCTCTCTCTCTCACACACACACACACACACACACACACACACACACACACATTCCATTGCCTTAAATGAGGCAGACTGTGGTTTAGAGAACATACCCTTTTAGTATTCATAATGCATGGAGTTTGCCAAAGTTTGGTGTCATCATTTCTAAAATAAACAGTTATTTTCTTCTGCCTTCTTGGTGTCCCCTCTATTCCTGCTCCAAATGTGTAAGGACTAAAAAAATGTCCCATATGACATGGTTGGTGGCTTTTGCCTCCTCAGACAATGCTTTAAAAGAATGCCTTACAGATAAATTTCTTTTATACATACTGATATATAAATATTAAGTTTAGATAGTGATACAATTTTTTCTTAACAAGTCTTCTAACAACTGAGGAGTACTACAATACAAATTTATATTTGTTCTAACTGTAGACAATCTTACCACTTTCAGGAGCCCACAATACTTCTCTCGGTAGCATCCCTCTGCTCTGTGGGAAGACTCTGCTGCCCACTGTAGTAGATACCCTAGCCCTCACCCTTGGGTGTAGGTAAGCTGTACACAAAAAGTCATAATGTCTTCTGTGATGAGTCACAGAGATAGGGAAAAAAAATGGTCTGGCACTGAGTCACCTTGAAAACTGGTTGTTCCATTTGTCTCTGTGTGGCAAATTATTCCCAAATTTGGTGACTTTACAGAAATCATTCCATTGTTTATTATTTTGTGGGTCAAGGCTGTCGCTAGTCTGCGTGCTGAGTGCTGGGGCAGCTAGAAGGGAGTGTCCATTCCCAAAGTGGCTTCACACTTGCATGTCTGCATCCTGGTGCTCCTTGGCCTCCTTCTCCCCACAGGGCAGTTTATCCAAGTCAGACTTCCTTGCCGCAGTGAGAACTCATGTGGGAGCTAAGGGCTTTTCCATACCCAGCCACAAAAGTTCCAGGTGTCACTTCCATAGCATTTTGTGGTTTAGGCAAGTTCCTAAGGCAGACAGATTGAGAGGAAGACAAATTAGATTGCACCTCCTTGTCTAAAGAGCAGAAAGTTATGGGCCATAAATAGGAACTGATATAAAACTCCTTCAGGGGATAAATGTTTTGTAAGTACTGGTTGCCCAAGAACTACTTTATATTCGAGGAGAAAAAGTAAAATGTTATACATTGTTTGCTCTGCTTTGTGTTTGAGTTTTGCCTTAATATCCTGAAATCAGTGAGCCTGGCTTTGACTCCCTGTTGATTAATTATTATGGAATGGCAAGAGGGAGCTCATAGGTGGGAGAAAGTTTTTGGAATGAGGGACTGGGAATCTGGCAGTGCTGTAGACTAATAGGAAACCCAAGAGGAGAAGGGTGTTTGACCAAAGTGTCAGGATACTTTAGACTACAGGTAACAAAATGCAAAGTGCCCAACCAAAATCAGCCTAAAATACACATTTCTATTAGAAGACTGGGGATAGGTAGTTCTAGGTTTGGCTCAGCATCTCAAAGATATCAGGCTGTCAGTCACCTTTTCTGAGTCTTTTGACATACTATCAGTCAACTTCTCTTCAGAGTCTTTTGATACCTCTCTTATGTTGCAAGATAACCACCTCAGCTTCATCACCATATCATTATAGTAATGACAGAGAAAGAAAGAGTCTCTTCTGATGTCTTTCATCCCCAGGAACCTGACAACAGATTTCTATTGAGTCACACTGGCCAGAATACAGCTACATGTTCATGGGCTAGCCTCTGGGAGAGCTGGGTTAGAATTGGTCAGGCTTTCCCAGGGAAACGAGGAGAAAGGCATTAAGTGGCACCAGCCTGGCTGCCACAGGGTCATATGCCCCCTACCCCAAATGGGCAAAGTCCTAACTAAAAAAAATTAATATTTTCTAGAAACCAGTTAATTTCTCTATTGACTTTCTCTTGTTTACTTTGTGTTTGAGAGCTACTCCCATTTCCTCTTAACAAATAAAAGAATTAATTTTCCTACATACCTTAAAATTTGAATGAAAACTCTTTGGCTGCCATGAAGATGAGTTTCCTGGTGATATCTTGTAGGATTGCCCTCCTGCTGTCATTACTTACTTCATACCCCTCTAAGTGCCTTTGTGTGCATATAGGTTTACATAAGGAAGGACTGTAGGCAGGAGCATGCTTGTTTCAGAGTCTGGAGACTTAGAGAACTCCCTGACCTTTTTTAGTTGTAAGTTGGACCAGGACACCAATTTTAACTATTCTCATTCCTGAATGGCAAAGGCTGGCTGAACTGAGCCGAGTCAGTAACACAGTAGCATAGAACTGAGAAAACCCAGATCCTCAACTAAGAAGAAAACACCTTGATCCAAAAGGGCCTGGTGTGGGAGAGTGGGGAAGGTTGCTGCCTTCTCTGTACAGCTGCTTGAGAGAATTGATGTCTATGTCTATCCCACATGCTGCTAGGGCCCATTTTCTTTATGATGTTAAAAGGCTGAATTTTCAAAGTAAGCTTGTAAGAAGATCATAACATTATGTTACAGAAATTGTGCTTGAACTGAATTACAGTGAATGTCAAAAGAAGGCCTATCTACCTACCCTCCTTTCTGATATTTCAGAAATAGATTTCAAAACAAATGTTTTGGAGAAATTTTTATTTCCAAAATACCTGAAACGATTGACTCATGTCAGTGAAATCTATTTCTAAAAGTGATTTTTTTTCATTACCATATTTCTGATTAGTATAACTGTACATAATGGTGGGATTTGTTGTTACATTATTCATACATGGACCCAACATAACAATATAATTTGGCCAATATCGTTCCTCAATATTTCCCCTTTCCCTCCCCTTTTCTTTCCCCCTGCTTGGTTTCCTCTACTATCTCTTCCATTTTTCATGAGGCCTTCCCTACCAGGAAGTCGTATTTTAAGTGTTAAAAAATTGATACTTCTAGTAAAAGAAGGGGGGGGATGAATGCTTTATGTACTTGTAGACCACTGTATAAGATAGAACCCAAGAAAGAAAGTGAAAATTGATCTCTAGCTAGATAGCTCCTACACTTTCCCCCAGCCACCTAAATCTGACCCCACCCTAGTGTTTAATATACACAGACAAGATCATGCAAGCCCTAATTCATGCAATCAGGGAAATCTGCATCTCTCCATCCACTTCTGAGGATCTTAGTGGTGGCCTTAGTTTCCCTAGTTTTGACTGCCACCTTTTGCTCTAAATTCCAGTTCTTAATTAAGTCTTCTCAGGCTAACTCATCACCATACTCTGCACTATGCAGGTGCAGCTGGTATGTGGGCTTCTGAATAGGCAGGACTCCTCTCTGGCATTGCCTCAGAGAAATCCCTGCCAGAACTGGAAGAGACTTCCAGGTGGATGTCACTGACTCAAAGTACACCAGCCAGCCCCCTACAAGGCTTGCATTATATGTGTTGCCTCAGAGCCACTCACCACTACTTAGGGCTTGTGTCTCTCTTCTCTCATTTTCCCATCTTCCCCAAATCTTCATATTATAGTGTAGCAGTCTTCCCCAGCTTTACTGAGATATAACTGAAAACTGTATATTGCAAGGTACCCAACATGATGATTTGATATATGTATACATTATAAAATGATTTCCACAATCTATGTCTACCATGTCCACCTATGTCACATTGAAAATAGTTCTTTATAAATTTGGCTTCAGACAGTGTTACACCAGCACTATGGAATTTATCTGATTCAGATCAATGAAAATTTAGAAGATTTTATTTGTTAATGAAGTTAAATAGTTTAAGAACTATTTTTCAGATTTCTGAATTTATTAAAGATCTGTATTATCTTTAATACTTTTATTATCTCATAATAACATGTAAAATAAAAACATCAATTCAATCACAAAGTTCCTTAGGGCAAGTGATTAAATAACCATGAGATTAACTAGGTTCACTTCAAAGATGATTAATGTTGTACTATTTATTACTCTAGGCAATTATAGTAGTCAAATATAAATGTTCACAAAGTACATTTTCATTAACATGCTGTATATGTCCAACTACTTCCATATGTTTTCTGGATTTCATACAGTGTCATCATTAAATAAATATTTAATAGAAAGGCTTATTAAAGTTTTATTATACTTAAAAGAATAGAAATGAAGATAGATTAAGTTAAAAGTTATGGAGAAATGTAATTGAAATAACTTGGAAGTACAATTTAAATCAATACCTTTCTTAATTTAGAAATATTAAAAGTATATGACTGCAATTTAAGATGTGTTTAAATATATCATTATGGAGAAAATAAGAGCAATATCTTATCTCACTATTTCTATATTATTTGAATAAGAATATTAATTGTTCTTAGTCTAAAACAGAAAAAAAGACAAGTTAACTACCTTATTTATCAACTCATTAAATATATTGATGTGGCTGTCATTAGCACATGTGTATTATTATGTAGAAATCCTTACAGAGCATTGACAATTTTTTTCAGTGCTTATAATCAGTGCTTATAATACTGTGCTTATAATCTCTGTGACCTAGGAAAAATAACATAACATAATGTTATTGACTTACCTATTATGTGAAATACATTTTAAAATTTTAAATAAATCACTATATTCAGTTTAAAAATTCTGTCATTGAGTTTATATAAATGGAGAAACTTTGTTTCTCTGGAAATGTTAAATCAAGTTGTGCAAGCTAGTAAAATAGCTTTGATTTGATTTAAATAAAATATTGTTCACATCAGGATATATGAAAAAACTAGAATTGTAACTATTGGCTCCTCTGTGATCCAGGGGACAGAGCACAGGGATAGACTCTTTGACTATGAAGAAAATGCTGTCCTGCGCTAGTTTCCTGATAAAGTAATGAATCCTGACCAGAAACAGATTGTAATAATTTGTTAAAATGAACTTTTGATAAGTGTTTTATTTGTTTGTTTGTTTGTTTGTTTATTTCATGATCAGGCTATCAGCTGCAAAGGTCAACACAGCATATCCTACACTTTGTCGAGAAATCAGACTGTGGTGGTTGAATACACACATGATAAAGACACAGATATGTTTCAGGTAATATCTTTCTTTTCTAATTAAAGTGTTATTTTGCATTTTCTCTTTACTTGAATATTTTGATATGTGTCTAGAACATCCAACACAGTAGTGTTTGATGATGTTGAGGGGGAAGAAGTTAGGATAATATAAAACTTATTCCTATTTAGTTTTTTAAAGATTTTAAAAAATTTAAAAATGTAAAAAGAAATTATAAATGCCACATTGTCAGATCTCAGGGCAATAAAAATAGGTATTAATGAGAATAAAAAAATTTTAAGCCAACCACTTTTGAAAGCTAACATGAATATATTTATACTTTCTAAGTAATACTTGGGTCAAAATTTCAATTCTAGGCCTTTTAGAAAAAGATGTGGGAATACTTTATAGCAAAAGTCAACATGATATAGCCAACATCTCACTTGTCTTCTAGAAAAACATAAAACTTAAATATTTTCATTATTAAAATATAAGAAAATAAATGAAGATAAAGGTACAATTCATTTCAGAAAGGTTTTTTTAATGACAATAATAAAATAATTAAGAACCTGGTTAACTAAGGATGGGCTCAGAAATAGTTTTAGTAGTACATAATTGCAAGTTCAAAAATATCCCAATAGAA